GGGAGCCCGATGCGGGACTCGATCCAGGGACTCCAGGATCATGACCTGAGCCGAAGGCAGTCGCTTAACCAACTGAGCCACCCAGGCGCCCCCGTGAAATGTTTGTTAATAGTCTTAACTATAAGGCTTGTTGAATTCTCCAGCTTCAGACTGATTGATGACTATAAACACCATCATTTTTGTCCTTCTTTTTAAGCAGCTGGGATCTACAGTACTGTCAAAGGAGGCTTTTGCTCAGCCCTGGGATAGGAAAAGCAGCCCTTTTCTTAAGACATTGACCAGTGGCCTTTGGCCAATTGAGAAATGTCCATGATGTGCTTGGAATGAAGTCTTCTGTGGTCACTTCAGCCAGCAGAATGGTGGCTGTGTCCAAGCCACAGAGACTACCCACAAAAGGGTGGAAGGAACCAGACAGTGACAGGGCAGTAGTTGAAGATGTCTGAGTATCATGGACCTGAAATTGCAAACACAGGCCTGCATGGCTCGTTTCATAAATAAAACGACAGTTTTTATTTCCAAATGCCTAATCTCTGGACAGTAGGCCCCTTATAAAATTCTACCCCCTTAAGAGGAGCTCGGCCGAGTTCCAGTGCTGTCTCAGATCTGTTTCATGCAATTGAGCTCTACTAATTGTCGACCAGAAGGTTTGTAAAAGAAAACAGGAAGTCTGCTGTGGCCAAGGCAATTTGTAGTGATCTGAAAGCATCTAATTCTCAGAAAAGAAGTTCTTCGTAACCATATTAATACCCTTAACAAATATGACCGCATCCTTCTCTTCTTATTTGATCAATTTACCTTTGCTTCAGTGGAGACACATTCAAGAAAGAAAACATGAGTGGAAGGGTCACAATTCTTAAAGTTGAAACTTTATGGAGGCCTTCTGCTTTTTCAGCCAGATTCTCCAGTAGCACAGCAAAATACAACTGAGATCAGTAGATGTCATAGGCATTCATTATACACGTATGCCTTTTCTTGTGCCTTGTGTATTATGTGCAAATGGGAAATAATGCAGCTTGTAAAATAATGTTTTAGATTTATCACATGGTTACATGAGGGTGATTCAGACTCAGTTGTCTTATTTTAAGAATCAACATCATTTCATAACCAGAGGTCATCAGGAATCACTCCTAGCCATTATACACATGGTTATACACACGATTCGTTTTCATAAGCTCCAACCTGAATGAATTTCCAGTCTCATACACTGCATATGTATTATGCATTTGGGGCTCTATCTTTACTGTATGACATTCATAAATCAAGTGGCGGTGTGATTATCATTACTGGAAACTGGAGTCCGGATACCAGAAGCTTACCATTAAGGAAAAAAAAATTTCTTAAACCAGCTCAGTCTTCGCCTGATGGTATTACACCACAGAGCCGTGATCTTAGTGGAACACTAGGTAGAGCTACAAAAGAAGTTTACATCTGAGTCATGCTACTCTACTCTCCATCAGACGTAGAGTATTTTAGAGCAACTATTATTTTTTAAAAGCAAAGAAACAATAGGAGACTGCGCAGGATAATGAGAAAGAGGAATGATATTTTTGTATAAAAATGTATTATAAAATAATGGGTGAAATATATAAAACTGTTTTAATTAGAGAGAAAAAAAATCCCTAATCTTGCCGGTAGATTATAATATGTAATGTTCCCTGGAAACACCAAGGAGGTTGACACGGTGTATCTGAGAATTATCTATCCAAACAGGAAATGAATTCTCCCCAGATAATTGAAATCTAGGAAGAATCTCCAAAACTCAATTTTAGCATGGATTTTAATCTTTTACTTCACACTTTCAATAGAGTTTATATACTGTTCATCTTCTAACAGAGTGTACAACATAAAAGACGCAGGCTGAAAGAGACAATTCAAAAGGAATCAAAAATGTAAAATCTAAATAATATGCCCTAAATTGGTCCTATCATACTTGACGTAGGTGTATCTACACTTGACTTGCATTGATAGCCACGGCCTTGTAGCACTTCCAGACTCTGTTCACAGAACTGCAGTGAAATCCTCTGATCAAGGGAACTCAGTCTACAGCTGCATTTTAGGATGGGCATTGATTTTTACCGTATGATCTATCTATACATACATATGACATATCTAGAACTTAGTTTTCTCATTATTTTTTATCCTCTGATTTTGTCAGACTCACATGACATTCTTCCTCTTTCACAGTATCTAAACCCCATGCTCCAAAATATGCACATGCAGGTGCACACACGCACATGCACACACACACGTGCTCACACAGCACACACACATACCACACACACACACACACTTACACTACACATACTTACACACACACTCAAACAGAGCACACCATCATGCATGATCACATACCCCCGCACACACACTCACAGACACTCCTGCAATACACCTAATCATGTATGCTCATGCGGACACATACCAGACACACACACACATGCATAGAACCCACATATCCATACTCACACACACTCAACACACTTAACAATATTTAAATACCCAACTAGACACTGAGGTTATAGTAGGGAACAAAAGAGACCCAAGTTCTTGCCCTCAGGGAGCTTATATCAAGAGTGAAGCAAAAGGGCGATTTGAAGAAAACATGAGTCTCGAACTGAAAGAAAAGGTCTGATGCTGCCGTTGGTGGTAGATCTTGTTGCCGCTCTGTGACCTCAGAAGACCAAATTCCCTTAGCCCCTTCCCTATCCATCTTCTCCAAAACTTAGGAGGGGTTTTGAGATTCTCATCTGTTTCCTTAATTAGTCTAGAAAAAATGCCCTTCATCCAGAACAATTCAAATGAACTTTAGTTTGTGTTTTAGAAACTCTGATGAATCATTTGTGGATTTGGGGATATGCAAAGGAAAAGACCCCAAATGTTGGTGCCATGTTTGTTAACAGACTCATCACCCCAGGGCCCCTGGAGCCACCAAGTAGTACAGTCTAAAGAAAGCTGGGGGCTGGTGAGGGAAAGCTACCGTTTTTAGGGTGTCCCACACTCCCCCCAGCTTGATGGAACTGAAGACTCTATGTCATATAAAGAAGAAACAATCTACGAAATTCTGTTTTGGATGTTTTATTTTAAGATCTTTTATACTTTTAACTTACATCTATTCATTTAATGCAGAGTTGTTTGTTGAGCACTGAAGTTGAAAACGTTTTGTTTATTTTAACAGAAGTAATGACACCAAAAGCGTAAGTTATTTTTTTCTTCAAGATCCAGGTTTACTGAACTCCCTTGCTTTATTCCCACCCCTAAAATTGTGACTACGCACACACACACACACAAACACTCAGAGCTTCTAAAAAGGATTAACTTTACCTTGTGGATCTTCAAGAAATTATTTACAATATGATTAAAATCATGATGCTTTTGTAAGTTTTCACTTCAAATTTATTTTAGGAGCACAACAATAACAAAAAATAGAATAGAAGTAAGCTAGTCGAAATATATAGATGGCCCAAGTGTTGTTTTCTGCAGCCAAATGAAACAGCCTCAAATGATGAACTTCACTGATAGAGAGTAACATTGGGGAGCTATCAGAGAGTTGGCTCTTCTCTCCTAGAGAGTGAAAGTTTCTCTGTCTTCTTTTACTGTTAGATGCTAAGATCTAAGGCACTTTTTTTTTTTTTTTTTGTATGGTGGGCTGCTCAGTGCTTCTAAGTTGAAGAACATAATTTCTTTTTATTGTTCTTCCCAGACAGCCACGGTGTCTTGGGATATCCGGACATTGTACTCCACAGTACCTGAAGATGCAGAGCACAAAGCAGAAAATTTACTGGTGAAAGAGGTAAATGTGTGCTTCTAGTCCTTTGTAAAGCTTTGTTTTCCCCTGGTGGTGCTCAATACAACTTCCTGTTATTATTGTCTTCCTCTATTTCTCAGTAGAGAACTCCAGATGCTATGATTGATTGATGTCTTTCAGCTGGCGTCACCTGTAGATTCTTTGCATTTTCCTGTTAATCAATTTTTCATTATCTGGTGACTCTTCAGGTTTTGGACTTCTTTTTCTTTTGCTTTTACATCACTTAAAATCCTCATATTGAGGAGCATTTCTGTATTCTTAATGGAAAGACTTGATTTTATTTTGCTTACCTAGACTGAGTTGTTGGCAAGGCCATAGGATGTGAGAATTTTGGATAACAGAGTTTCTATTTTAAGAGATAAATTTTCGGGGTGCCTGGGTGGCTCAGTCAGCGAAGTGTCTGCCTTCGGTCAGGTCATGATCCCGGGGTCCTGGGATCGAGCCCCACTTTGGGCTCCCTGCTTCTCCCTCTCCCCTTGTCCCCTGCTCTTACTCTTTCTTGCTATTTCTCTCTCTCTCTCTCTCCTTCACAAATAAATCAATAAAATCATTAGAAAAAGAGAGAGAGATACTTTTTTTTAATACTAACTATGGAAATAGTTCATGGTAAATCCCTGCAGCTATGATAAAAATCTGTTATTATAGCATTTGCTTGCATTTAGATGGTAAAGAGAGACCTACAAAACTGCTTCTTCTTCTAACCAAACCTAGGATGCTTTAGGGCAGCTACTTAGAAGATGCTTCTGGAGTGAATAAATGAAGCTAGCCCTTCATTTATAGAAAATGCAGTGGGAAAATTTAGCACAGGTCAGACTGAATCCTGAGAGAAAATGGTGTATCCCAGTTAGGATTTAATTAAAGCTACATTCCATAGCAAAACCCTTTCTTAGCTCTTAAACGCATGTGCATGAATATAAGCTAGCTTTATTAGCATATGTATTAATATCAATCTGTATTAATCATACATGCTTTATGTTATACACTTCAGTCCAAATCTTTTGCCATAAATTTACGGGTCTTTTTTTTTTCCAATTCAATATTTTTTCCCCAAAGTTCACATTACATTACTGCCTTCTAAGGAGTTAAAAAAAAAAGGGAAAAGTACAGGTCCAGATAACATCAGGTTTCTGGGTGTACTATTTTCATATTTACTGATAAAAGGAATAAATGTGACATCAGTACCACAATATTTTGTTTACAGTCACCTTAGAGGAAGTTTTCATATCTGGTAGGGCATCACAGTTTAAAAAAGAGTTGGCAAATCATTTTTTACACAAAAAAATCAGAACCAGTGAGACAAGGTCTACAAAAGTTCTTACGTAAATATGTAAATAGGTGTTAACTTAGGTAGGATTTGAAACATTTATGATCTTGAATTCATAACTGGGAATATTTAACCAGTTCTTCCTGAGTTTTTTTTCCCTGAAATACGGCACTTTTATGTAAAGGTCTTTAACTTGTTGTTAAATTTATTTCTTTATAGTTTATAAATTTATTTCTTGTAGTACTTTATGCTTTTGTTGTAAATGTGAGAATTTTTTTAAAGATTTTATTTATTTATTTGAGATAGGGCGCGCGTGAGGGAGAGAGAGATCATGAGCAGGGTGGAAGGGTAGAGGAAGAAGCAGACTCCCCAGTGAGCAGGGAGCCCGATGCAGGACCCTATCCCAGGGTCCTGAGATCATGACCTGAGCCAAAGGCAGAAATTTAACCGACTGAGCCACCCAGGCCCCTGCAAATGTGAGAATTTTTTTAAAACAAATTCTTTTTCTTACTGTTCATTGCAGATATTTTTGAAAATATATTGACTTTTGAATATGTATAACTGGCTCACTAAACTTCCTTATCCAAATAGTTCTTTTGTAATGTTAATTTTTGTTTTCATTTTTTTACTTTATTTTTTTGCAGATAGAGAGACACCACTTATGGTTCTTATTTGATTTTTAAGTATGAATCATATCATCTGCAAACAATTAAAACTTTCTTTGTTCTTGCCTTGTTTTATTATCTGATATCTCTGAAACAATGTTGAATTATAATGCTCATATTGGACATCCTGTCTTAATTTTTATTTTAGAGGGATGCCTTTAGCATCTTTGATGTTTTATGAAATTTGGTGTTATGACAGTTTTTGGCATAAAAGAAATGTGTAAGAAGGATCTTTCTTGGTCCCTTTAAGTGCTTCTAAAGATTGGCTACCCCATAGTATGAAATCCATATGCAGTCTTTTGGTATAATAGCTTTACCACTTGAATATGAATATCCTATGGGTCCATATTTGTATTTCTGGTGTAAACTTCCTTGTTCAAATTGTATTTTTACCTTAATACTCTACTCCATTCGAATTGCTAATATTTTATTTCATACTTTTGCATTTATATTCATGAGTGAAATTGGCTCTAGTTTTCTTCCTCACTTTGGTATTAGACAAATGCTAACTTTAAAAAATTGTGACACTCTCCAAATTTTTCTATCTTCTGGAATAAAAAAATAAATCAGTGAAATGAAACAGAGTATCTAGAAATATATCCAAGTAAATACGGTTACTTAATAAATGACAAACATGGCATTTCAAATTCTCAGATATCTCTCAAGGGTAGGTAATTTCATAAATACCACTTGGTTATTCATTCTGGATGAAAATAAAGTTCTATCTCACATTAACACAAAAATTAATTTCAGGTCAATAAAAACAATTTTAATTTTAAAAACAAAAATATTAAAACTATAGGAGAACATTTTTAATCAGAAATTTAAGGGAAATGGACAGATTTAAGCAAATAAAAATCTTTTATATGATGAAGGGTGCCATAAATAAAACCAAAAGAAAATATTTAATCAAAGCAGTTATTTGTAATTTATTATATCTTTTTGCCACACATACACATACTCTTAATTTTCAAAATCCTACAAATTAGTAAGAAGAAGATAAATAACCCAAGAAAATATGAGGAAAAGACAGGAGCAGACAGTTCAAAAAGAGGAAATGCAGTTGGCCAAGGGGCACACAAAGTTGCCAACATTTACTTACAGTCATGAAAATATAAATTAAAACAAAAATTATGTGTAATACTTGTATGAAGAAGAACTTTAAGATGAATATTATTTAGTGACAGTAGGAATATAGGAATTAAACATTATCACACAGTGTTTGTAATATTTGCATGTCTATAACTTTTTGAAATGTAATTCCAATGTATCTTTTAAGTAGTACATATAAATGTGTAACATGCATATTATTTAAAAAAACACTAGAGCATAAAAAATACAATTACAAGCATAAGTATTGCTACACTGAACAATTTGTAATATCACTTGATAAGGGTGGGGTTGAATAAACTTTGGCACATTTATATTTTATAAAAATATATAACCAATAAAAATGACATATATTTATTTATTTATTTATTTTTATTTTTATTTTTTTTAATTTTTTTAAAAATTTTATTTATTTATTTGACAGAGACACAGCTAGAGAGGGAACACAGCAGGGGGAGTGGGAGAGGGAGAAGCAGGCTTCCCGCCGAGCAGGGAGCTCGATGCCGGGCTCGATCCCAGGACCCTGGGATCATGACCTGAGCCGAAGGCAGACGCTTAACGACTGAGCCACCCAGGTGCCCCAAAAATGACATATATTTAAATGTATTAGCTTGGATGCCCATGATATGTTGTTAAGAGAAAGAAGTAAGTTGCATAATATATAGTATGTTAGCTTGAAGGTATAAAACCTATAAATATATACATAAATATGGCTTATTTATATAAGGCTAGGGAAGTATTAAAATCTGTATAATAAACTCATAACATTGGTGATGTCACAAGTTTGGGATTGTAAGGGGAAGGGAGAAATTGGTTTTCAGTTTATATGTTCCGTATTGTTGCGTTACGAATGTATTTTTTAATTAAAAAAAATGTTTTGGAAAAAATTAGTTAGAATATATCTTAAAATGCTTTCAGAATTGGAAGCAACCCAAGTCTCTCTCCTAAAATTCTCTGAAGTTAAAATCCAACTTTATTCTTTGAGTCATTAGTTAGTTGCCTTAAAGATTACATCAATTTTTTTTATTATTATTATTATTTTACTTTGATAATGAAAATATCATACAGAACGATCAGAATCCCCTATGTATTTTGCTTTATGATTCCACCTGCTGGGCTTCTCTGTCCCTCATAGAAGCCAATTAAATTCATCCCTTACAGTCCATTCATAACCACTTGTAATAGAACCACTATGGATTTATAAACATTTCCACAATTTTAGGGACTTTTCATTTCATGGTCTTTTTACCTCTTTCTGTGTGCATTGGGTATTTGTCTATTTCTAGGTTTTCAGCAGTCTGCTTTAGGCTGTGAAAAATAGCTCTCACATGAACCAAGGGTTCTTAGCTGTCTTAGCTGTGGGTCTCTGGTACCTGAGGCTCTGAGACCTTGGATTTGGTGGCCAGCCTGCTGCAGCCCTTGGCTCTTCACACCTGCTTGTTCTATTATCTGGCATGCCTTCAAGGTGGGGCCAATCAGCTCAAATCCTAAATCTCAGGATGGATTCAGAAACCCCACCCCCAATCTCTGGATCCAACCACAGTGTCAAGTTTAGCTAGGGGAAGGGCAACCTAAAAAGCAGACCAGTACAACACTGGAGACATGTGAACATATTCTAGGGTTCCTAGAGACCTTTAGTTTTGTTGTTGCTTTCATGAACTTCTGCACCACGACTTCCAATGGCCAGATTGACCCCTGTATTTCTGTAGTTTTCTAGAAATGTCAACTTCCGGGAAGAAGAGATTGACCACAGAATTTGCCTTTGTCTTGCTATTTCTTCTGGGGCGAAATTTCTCGCCTTTACCTTTGTTCCTACCTTTCAATTGCTTCCAGCCTGGGGTTATTCCTGCTTTCCTCACTTCCACCCTTGGCTTCTCCTCTCTCCTAAGAACTGCTCCAAGGAAAAGTCAAGTACAATGTCTTTTACCTTCGATCCCAGGTATCGG